TAATTCCCCTACCAGATTTTCATCAATCTTATCTGAGGTGACCTCAGATAAGTTTAAAAGCTCCTCGGAGGACAAGTCCTCCTCGGATACCGACGATTTATTCTTTTTAGTTAAATTTGACTTGAACATTTTGGTTCCCACGAGTATGGGGGTCAATGGAACTGCAGGTACTACCCCCTCTCCCTGCAGCCGGCTACTTGAAATGGGGTGTCGCCCGGTTCCCCAAGTGGGTCGATACAAGACAGTATATTTTTACCCACCCTCTGCCACTCAGCCTCAGCTCGTGCGCCCCGACCTAGCTTGGGTGCCTAACAGGTTCCTCAGTTCCATCTCACATGTATCATCCGCATACACATGGATGGAACCAACGAACCCCGCCTCTGTCGTCCGCGAGTCCCATCGGACTCCCCGGGGGGCGCCACATGGAGGTGACAGTAGGCGTTGATAGGGATAAAGAGATCTGGGAACTCACAAGCAGTGGGTAGGGCACTACACTCGATCATTCCGCAAAGAGTTGGGGAGATTCCCGCACCTATCTCCCTCTCTAGACCTCCCGTTACCCTACCCATTAGCCCCCCTGAGCACAGGTTCGTACCCATGAAGCCATTTCCATGTTCCTGTGATTAAATTTTGAAGTAATGAAAATCCAAATTAAAGTAAAGTGATATATTCACTATACTGACTGGTGTCTTTGTTGTAATTATTAGTAATGTGGCACACTGTTATCCATACTATAGTAAACTTACTCTTGTTACAGGCTATATATGTTTTTTTTTCTTTGTATGTTTTTGGTTATATTTGAAGTTTATTTTGTGTATTATTCACCTAATATCTCAATTAAGAGACCAGTTGGATTGATATTTAATATTGTCGATTTGATTTTATTTACTCTTTTATGATTAATACTAATTTGACTCTCTCAAAAAGTATGTATGTCATAATAAATAACTCTTTACATTTTGATTTTTTTTTATTGTTTTTATGCTCCTTTATCATTAAAAGACAGAAAAGAAGCCTTGCCTTAAAGCATACCATATTTATTCAAAATTCAATAATGTTTTCAGTAAATACTTATTAATGTTTATAGAAACTTATTATGCAATTATCTTTAATAGTAAGAGAATATTTTATAATTATATAACCATTGTTATATATATATATATATATATATATATATATATATATATATATATATATATATATATATATATATATATATATATATATATATATATATATATAGAGCTTCTCATTGTTCACTTAGTGTACAGGAAATACCATTTTTGAGTTGTTTCTAATCTATAATTTGACTTAAAGTTGTCAAATATGATGAACTGTTCTGTACAAAATGGTTCATAAGTTTAAATGAGATTCTACAAAAAGGAAAAACATTGATAACGGTGATGCCTGAAGGAAGGCAACACATAGGCACATAAAGACTGTACTGTTATTTTTGCTTTGTTTACAAATGTACAAGCATAAAAAATATATATCTTGCTAAAAAAAATACATCAAGCTTTAAGAATCGTAGTTTTATGAGCAGATCTATCTTCTAAAATATGTGGCGTATGAATTTTTCCTATTACTTCTTATAAACAGCAATCTTCTAAAAGCTTGACTTTACTTATAGACCTGTTGCTTACTGTGCTGTTTTTCAGTCACGTATATTTCAATATGGGTTTAGATAGTTAAGAGTCGAGCTATTATTCTGTGAAGATTTAAGATAGGAAGGTTAATCAACCTGGTAAAGGCTCGTTCAGTAACTTTAAAACCACACAAGGTTGTAATACCATGTTCTATATGCGTATGTTTCTAGCGCTGCAACCAACACTATTCTAACTAGAGTGGGAAGGTCAAGACTCATTACAAGGCGCCACTAGACTTGAGATTATTAAAGCGGACGATGCCTCAACATGCTCAGGCTCAGGCACAACCGCTATCATCGCAGGATCTTAATCTTTGAAAGAGAAATCTTCTCTACCTGAGCTTCTGAAGACATTGGTTTCACATAGTCTTTTGTCCTATCGTTCTGTTTACCACTACTAAGGAGATATTAAAGTGACCTCTCCACCTTGATTCTTTTCATGGAGTGTTCCATTTTCATCATTCCGAGCCCTTGACCTAGATTTAAATGTTTATCTTCCTTTCACTAAGCTTATGATTGAATTTCTTTGTATCTTTAGTCTTTTGAATTCTACCAATTTTCGGTTCCTCCATATCCCTTTCATTTCTCGATAAAGGCACTTTTCTTTAGATGCTTTTTGTGAAACTACCCTATCTATTTTTACTTTCACTTACCTATATATGTAATATAAAGTAAGGGAAAGTATTGCGATCGTGAAAGTTTCCCAATCTGAGTTTTCAATGAAATACACGTTTTGAGGTATCCTGAGTCCAGGTAGGTACTTCGTTATTACCAAGTCCCGTAAAATGGTCTGTGTGTCTGTATATTAGTAGTCTAGCTTAAAACCTAAAAGTCTTACAAAACTGATATTACGTATTTAAGATAGGAATATGCCTTTGATGTGACAGCAACTTTTTCCTTAAAATCCGCTAACCGGAAGTGTCACTTTATATCAACGCTGTAATTTTTTTTTACAATTTTCTCAAAAACTTCTCTAACTATTTTGATTAAACTCTGTGTATCATTGTCTAATGAAGTGGTCTTTAATATCAATCAGGTTTTATCCCCATTGATGTCACTTTACAGGGCTTAAATGTCCAATGTTCATATACGTCTTCCTCTAAAGTACCTTTAATATGGTTTATTTAAAGTTATTAATCATCTCACATTATTTAGAGTTACAAAAAAATGCTACATATAACTTTCAAAAGAATTTGATAATTGTATAAAGAAGAAAAATATAAATATGCTTATGCAGGTCGAAAATAAATCTCCGTAAATACTAGTCTGGAGTATAACATATAACATCTCGTTTTAAACCAGAGAATTTTAGAAAAAAACAATATCTAATATAGAAAGTTGTAGAAGGTAACGAATATTGGCGAAAAAATTATAAATACTAATGTTATTTAACGTTACTAATGTTATTTACTATCTAAATGTAAACTTTTAAAATATTTTTAAGTTGGAAAAAGTATTCAAAATCCACCTAATCAAGGCAATACCATTGTTTAAGAAACTATTTCATTGTATTTGTGTGGAAGAAGAAGTGAAATATCAAATCATTTCATGGATGTTTATAACCTTGAATACATTTACTGTTGTTTAATAATTCTAGATCTGATATTGTATTTAAATAATTAGGTATCAACCTCCGTTTATTCCGAAAAATCATCATTTAACTTTAAAAAAAATTAAATTGGTGAATAATTTGATGAATTTTCTCTTTGTCAAATCCCAAAATTATCGTTTCTTCCTCTAGAGTACCTTGAATTTGGTTTATTATAAATAATAACTATTTCTCATTGTTAGGAGTTATGAAAAAATGCTACATATAACTTTTGAAAGAATTTGATAATTGAATAAAGGAGAAAAGAAGAAAACCTATCCAGGTCGAAAATGAATACCCGGAGATAATAGTCAGAAGGTAAACATATAATATATCGTTTGAAAGCAGAGAATTAAAAAAAAAACAATATCTAATATAGACAGTTGTAGAAGGTAACGGAGAGTGCCAAAAAAAATATTAATAATAATTTCTAATAACTAACATTATTTAACGTAAATCACGTGTTTTCAAGGAAATTAAATGAAATTTCCTTACTAAATGTAAACTTTAATTTATTTTTTTTTTAAAGTTTGAAAAAGTATTTAAAATCTACGGATTCAAGGCAATGACGTTTAAGGTACTATTTCATTGTACTTGTGTGAAAGAAGAAGTGAGATATAAAAATATTTCATGGATATGTTTATAACCTTAAATATATTTACTGTAGTTTAATAGCTCTAAATCTGATATTATATTTAAATAGTTAGGTATCTATCGTCCATTTATTCTGAAAAATCATCATGTAACCTTTTAGAAAATTAAATTAGTGAATAATTTTATGAATTTTCCCTTAGTGATATTCCAACAGTATCCACTTACAATTAGTGTGACATCTTTTGATCTGTCTATGACAGACAATGCAAATCTCTTAATTGCATTTTATTAAACTTTGCAATGGAAAATAACAGTTTAATAACTAATAGTCATACAATCCATAATCAACAGATTGTACAATCCGTAATCAACCGCTGATATTATAAATAAGACTTTTGTTATTTTAATGATATTTATGATTTTTTGGCTGCAATCTTTTAGCTTTAGTTCAGTTAAAAATACAATTCAAAAATTTTATAATTGTCCAACATGGCCAGAATATAATTTCTATTCAAAGTTGAGTGGTAGAGGACGGGATGGCCGAGCACATTGGGGTGTGGGTCCCAGAGTACCTGGTTCTGAACGTTGTGGGTTCGATCCCCACCTGGGTCGGTTACTTTTCATTTCTCGACGGCCCCGGGAAATGAATCTTGACATTCCCACTCTAGTAAGTACTCGGCGGCAACCTTAAAGGTAGCCATCAGGGATTGGCTAAATGGACCACTAAAGGCCCTCTTGCCGGATTAGTTCCTCCCACCCAGTACCAGTAAGTTGAGCGGTAAGTGAAAGTTGTGTTTTGCGCTCACCAAATTTTTAATATATTGTGTAATACGAAGTGGGAACAAGAAAAATGCCTTTTTTTCCCTGAGAAGAATTATTACATTATTAAATCATGTAAATGTATTTATTTTGAACTCAAACTCCCTTATTCTTTGTAATTTTATTTCTTATTGGTTAATTGGAAACATGTTATACAATTTTAGGCAATATAGCTACATACAAATTTTTTTCTAATATGTTTCATGCATTTCTCTAAAATTTCTCATTTCTTTTGTTTATCATTAATGTTTCTCTTCCCTCCCCCTCCCTTTTTATTAATATAATTAGATATAGGTTTTATTTTACTTGATGTTGATAAAAAACAGTATTTTCCTTAAACAGACTTGTTTCCAGATAGAAATATCAATCCTTGACCAGCCAGTTGTTTCACGGACGTGACTTTCTCTATCCGAGTCAACTGAAGAGTTTTTCATGTGAACGTGTTACATATTTACTGGCCAGAATTAAACTTCCAAGGTATGAGGTGGCATCCCCCTGGGCCAAAGCTGCTTCCAAGTCATTCATTTCCTTCCATCGCTCATCTTTCTTACTTTTTCCATCCATTGTTAATCCTTTCTATAGTAATATTAGTATTTCATCATAACTATTAACTTTTAAGTAATTTTAGTTCTCTCGTTTCCTCTCCGTCTCTCTTTTATTTTTATATATTTTAAGTGTGATTTAGGGATAATTGGAGAAAAAATGGAATAACTTAATACAAAATAAAATCAAGGCTTCCTTTATTTAATTTATTTATTTATTTCTTATTTGAGAAACTCTAGATGTAACAGCAGCCAGTTGATTCGGATTAATTTATAAAAATTTATTTTATGTGATTTGTTGAATTGAATATAAAACCCGATATAAAAGGGAGGTGATATAACTTTAATGAAATATGCTGTAAATAATAAATATATGATTTTATTTATATACTTATAGTATAATTGTTGATACTATGTTGTTCTATATTTGACTTAGTTGTTACATGTTGTTAATGTCTACGAGATAAGATTTATTGTATTAATTTTTTTTCTTTATTTTGTTATAATTTTTTTAATCTTCTCTAGCCATGCATCGCTGTCCTTGATCATCATCATTGATTCATTTCTTCATCCAAACTTATTCTTGTTAGTATAATATCAGGGGGTGATAAGCAGAAAATGTTGTGGTTGTAACTTTTTGATATAATTTATTAATAATATTTTTATGTTGATGATTCCATGTATATATTATAATATATATATTTTGTAGCAACTTATTTTTTTATTTTTCCTGATTCCACTATTTTCTATCAAATATTGTGCTCAATCAAAAGGTTAAAAATGTTTATGGTTAGCATGACAGCAATTTTAGATTTTTATAGAAATGTCTTATTCATCGATTGTTATTCTACATATTTATTATAATATATTACAATGCAAATCCTAGTTTTCTCATCTATCTTTCCTCACTTTGATTATGGCTGCCTTGTATACGGTGGACTTGAGATCAGATTGAAAAGATTAATGAATTGTTTCATGAGATTCATCTTTGGAGTCCCTAGGCGCTCCCATGTCTCCAGTTGGTTATCCAGATTTCCAGCTGCAATATTTCTTAGGTGTATTCATTTTTCGAACCTTTACAATCAAAACACCATCTTACTTTCTTGATTTGTTTACTCCTTATTCCTCTGTTCATCCGTTTCAACACAAGATCCCAGTCCATAAACCTGTTTATTCCCTATCATAGAACTGTTTTCTTTAAAAAATCATTTATCATGCGTGCTATCTTTTTTTGGAATTCTCTACCTATCTCTATACGCATATTCTCTTCCTTAACCTCATTTAAACAAATTTTATTCTGTCACCTCCTTAGCAATCAATCTTCCGAATGCATGTAAGGATAAACTTTCATATTACAGAGCTGCCATTCGACTGATACTTACATATCATCAATTTTGTTAATCAATGTGCTTATTTGTCAATGTGTTAATTAATGTGCTTATGAATATATTTGCTCGTACTTAATTTATTTGTATTATAAGGTTAGATTATTATGTTAGCTAAAAAAAATTTATTTTTTATAGTGCCAGACAGTTTTCATCTTTTTGTACATTATAATGATTCTAAGGGGACTAAATGTCCCAGAATAAAATTGTTTTTTCTCTTCTATAAATATAAGCCTGATGAAGTTACATCATTTAGTTAAACATAAATAATGTTTCCTGATTCAAAACTAATAACATGAATATGTATATTTATTTATTTAGATATGGATAAATTTTAGAAGATATTGAATGTAACATATTCCTTCAGTCCTTAATGTTCTTGAACATGATTTCCTCTAAAGGTGTGTTTACCTCAGCAGGTAATTTATTTCAGATAAATTCTCATGGAATGAACTAGATTCCTCTCTGTTGGCTAGATAATTCAGTAAAAAATGTGTAAATTCTATTTGTCTGTATAAATAAATGTATAAATTCTATCTGGAAAGAAATGAGTTTTCTTTGAGTTCAAAAGATAACTTCTTTCCAAAATTAAAAACATTGCTGTTATTTGATATGGAAAACAGAAGACAAATCTCTTGATAACTTATTTCTAAATTAACTTCATGAGGTTAAGTTTTTGTAACTTTCAAGAGTCAATTAGACGGCTTTTAAAAATTGATAGAAAAAATTCTTCAAATATTAATCTAAATTTTCCAAGGATATCTACTACAGAGGTTCCCCTAAAACATTTCAGTAGAATTAAGTATTGAGAAATCTGATAATTCTTGAGATAATTATTTTCATTTGTCAATTTTGTGAAATATAGTAAAATTTGTTGTTTTCTAATCACTTATGAAATTTATTTTTAAAGTTAGCTCTTTTCACTGAAGATATTAACTAAGAGTTTATTTGATTTTTTATATTAACCTTCAAGCAATTCTACTACTGTTTTTTCTCTAATTCTTTTCTAATCCATTTTAAATAGTACAATGCATTCTACTATATTATTAATATTTTTCAATGATTTTATTTCTTCAACTACCATAGATAATTATGATAATTAGCAAATATTAAAAAAATGCTGAATATCTTCTTTATCAAATTTAAGCTTATCTGTATTACAAAATTATTTTTAAAAAATAGTGATTGATTTCTGATCACTTCTTCATTTCCTTATGTTATGAAATATTATTCAATGAAAAATCAGGTATATGAATCAGTAAGTTAAGAAAAGAACTCAAGTTTCCACAACATAATAAATAAATATAATCCATTTTAAATGTTTGCTTGAGGAAATTATATCAATCTTAACACTGGTTTAATTTTTTTTTTTATTTATAGATGAACTTTATATTTTTCGAGAAATATGTATCCGTGAGATACTTAAAAAGCATATTTTTTTATTGTATATTGTTTTGTGTTTATTATAACTTTTTTTCTCGTAACTCAACGGGAATCAGTTATTAGAAGCAGATTCAATATAATTTTTTTTTTTCTTCAAGATTGACGGTCACAGATCAAAACACAATATTTCAAGCATAACTTACCCAGTGCTAGCAGCTAGTGTTGCCTTATCTCCATTAAGAGATAACTATCTATCAATCCATTTTCAATCTCCTTTTGTGCTCAGCTGATGAATTGATGTAGTGGTCAGTGTTTAAGTTGCAGTGCCATAATAATTAGTGATCTTGGCAATGCCTATGTGAAGAGAGCTTTGTGTTTTGTATTGCATTGTTGTGAAATTTAAATGCTCGAGTACTTAAATTCCCTGATGACATAATTATACCCTACTGTGTACAATCTATACAAGAATACTTCCCCCACCTTTCAGAGATACTCACAAATTTGGTAATCCTAATTCCTTCTTAAATGGTTTCATTAATCTGTAGGTTTTAAAAGTAAATTTTTGGTGAAAGTTAACTTTTTTTTCTTATTATTTAAACTTATCAAAGATTTTTGTGCTCATTCTGAACTTAAATCTATATTTTTATTTTCTCCAAATTATATAAGATCCAGCTTGTTTTTCTAATTGTTCTCATCTGTTTCTTTTGCTACTTTTATAGATTGTTAAGCCTAGTGGAGCAAAAAGAGGTATAGAACGAGCATTCAAACTTGACCACGATAATGATTCCAACACAAAGCTTTCTTCAAAAGAGAACGAATGCTATGTAATTGTCCAAAGGAACTCCTCTCCAAAATTTAGATTTAAATTCCACCGAACATTTATTTGCTTATGTCATTTCACACCTGCTAATTCAAAATATGAACGCAGCGAAAGATAACAAAACTAAATTGTTGACAGAAAGTGGGAAAATCCTCTTCCAATAAACTTTGAAGTTGAATCAGTGTCCAACCAAGTTGAAAATAATGAACTTTATTCAAAATATTAATTTAAAAATGTTAACATAAATAAGTTACTAAGTTAGGACTTAATATGATTATGCATGGAAACTTTTGCTGTATTAAAATAGATATTTTTATTTTGAAAAATTCATTTCCTCTTTGTTAAGAAAATAAAAAAAGTTAATATTGATATTTAACTTTTAAAATATACGTTGAAAAGAATGGTTTTAAAGATTTTTTTTATTTACAATCAGAACATGTATAAAACATTGTTTATGTTCGGGATATTCTGCAACTTGTCTTAAAATCAACTGACTGAAGTGCCACATTATACCACAGATTTTTCACAGCTTTCTCGAAAATGGCTTCAGTGATTTTGTATAAATCGTTATATCAATGTATGATTAATTAATATCAGCTGGGTTTTATCCTTACAGAAATATTCTTACAGGGCCTAAATGTCTAATTTTCAAATTGTATCTTCTAAAGTCACTTCAATTTGGTTTATTTTTAATTATTAAGGGACTCTCATTGTTAATATTAATAAAAATGGCTTAATATAAAATTTGAAAGTATTTGATAATTAGTAAAAGATAAATTTTTTTTTCAGGTTTGAAACTAATTTTCAGAAATAAGTGTAATAATATTTATATCTTTGGAAAGCTGAGGATTTAAAAAAAATAGAATCTAATTTATAAAGTGGTGGAAGGTAATGGGAATGACAAAACACTAATTACTTATAATTTCGATTTCAATATTATTTAAAGAAAATTAAAATGAAACTTTTAAAATTTGTTTGACAAGCCAAAAATATATAATGCATTGAATTGCATCCCTTAAATTGTTTAAAAACATTTTGTTGTATTTAGGGAGCAGATCATACTGCTAAAAATATTTCAAATAGTATTTACGAACGGGAAAATTATATTATCATTATCTTTAGTAACTTAACATCTGATTATTGATTTAAATATTAACTAGCCGTATCAAATCAGTGATCAGTGAAATTTGTATGATGTGCACTCCAGATTTTGTTTCTATGATATATATCTCTATTATATAAAGAAGTTTTTAGTGACTTTCATATTTTATTTTGTTTTAGTATTAGGAGAGTAGTAGGTAACAGGTGCTCAACTTATTAGGCGATTATTTTACAAATTATATAGCTGTTCATTTAATTACATATGTATTGAACTGATAATCTCCTTTTAAAAATAAAGATTGTAGATAAAGAATTATAATAAACGGGAAATGGTATTCATCTGGAGGTGGTAGTTCAATTTTACCTAGGTGACAGCAGATATTTTTCTGATCGAGACATTTCTCCTTGAATACAATATATTAATCATTACATTATTTATTTTATATTGTGATATAATAATAATTATGATATAGAAAAGGAAGCACAATACAATGTACAATGAAAATATTGGAAATATCTAATTATTGTTGGACCTATATGAAGCTGGACAAGTTGAATATATAATATAATTACAAATTGGCAATAAGAATAATTATAATTATTTAATAATATAAATTGGGAATAATGCGTGATGTATAAAATAGATTTTTAAAGAAATTATAAATTTCTCTGAACTGTGAATGAAAATTTTACCTTCAGTGTCTTTTATGTTGATAAAACATAATACAATCTGAACTACAGAATACATGTAAATTAAAGTTATACAATTTGCTCAATGAGTAGTACAATTAAATGGACAATTGTATAATTAGTAAAATAGGGCTTGGTCTGCCATTAGGGGAACAGGAGGTAGCCCCCTAATCCATTTAAATTACAATTTTACGCGAATGAAACCTTCAATGTTTTATGTTAAAACAAAAGTACCTAGATGCCATTTAAATCTTGGACGTTTGGCGATTCTGATGTATTACGTTTTTTAATCACAACCTTCTGAATATTTTTCAAAACAGTTCAATCAATCCA